AAATGCTGGCAGGGAGCATGGCACGACACATTCCCTCCGCGGCCATTTGGGGCGGCGTGCGAGAGGGCTCCGTGGCCAGCGCGGGCGGGGCCAGCGCGGGCGGGGCCAGCGCAGCACGACGACCACCCTCGGTCCGATGTGTAGATTGAACAATCTCAAAGTACGTGTCGACTCGATGCCATTGGAAATTCGTATCGCGACTCAGTGCTGGTGCTTGGAGCGATGGAAATCATGAGTTGTAGAGCGCATCGATCTCACCAGATCCACTTTGCTGAAATCTATTCCACAATACAAAGCGTCGTTCCTTCATTCACGGCGTCCTGTTCCTGTACCTTTGACTGAAACGTGCCATCAACTGCCGCGTTAATGCTGATCTCCATTTTCATAGATTCCACAACGATCAATTTCTCTCCTGCTTTGACGCTGTCGCCATCCTTTTTGAGTACCGAGAGGATCTTGCAGGGCATTGGCGCAGTTACGATTCTCAGCTTCTCTCCTGTACCTCCTTCACTGGCTTCCCGCAAGTGTTCGAAATAAGATAGGACACTGAAGCAGGAGAGATCGACCCAGGTGCCAAGGTGAGGAAGATGGCACATGGCTCTGATTCCAGTTCCCGTATGTGTGATGCTGGAGGAGCTTGTGTCTTCTCGCTCTGTGGCCATCTCGATTGGATAGTTCACACCATTGATGGAGACGCGGAGCGTGGCGTGTAGCCAAGATGCCGCCCCTGATCTGACAGTACGGACAGTAGATGAATTGATCGCGATGCTGTGCGTCACCTCCCCAGGAAGGCTGCCACTTCTCATGGCGTTGCTCAAAGTGTTGTAGATCGCAGCCGCGTTAGCAGGCGACTTGGTGAGGCCGCCTGCTTTGGGAAGAGGCGCTATCAGTCCATCGAAGCGTGCGCCTTTGTCTCGACTTCCCTTGGAGTCCCATGAACAGACAAATGGCTGCATGTTCGCGTCGGCGTCTGGCATGAGAACAATTCTGCGCTGTGCGCGATTGACTCTATCATAGTTCTGATTTCTGAAACCAGATCCGACTTTGGCGAAAGCTCTTCCGGAACTACGTGATTGCGGCAGATATTGCGGCAGCGCACTGAGAATGTATCCCGCGACCAATGGTAGACTGGCGACTAAATGGGCGGCAGCTCGCTGGTTCGACGGAGCCAGCAATGCAGGGAGGTTTTGTGGGATAAATGATGTGGTATAGCCAGGATATGAGAAGCCAGGGTTGAGTAGACATTTCTGGAGAAACTGCTGATTTGTTCTTACACCGATGCAAGCAGTTTCAGCGAGGACCCGAGCCAGTTGGTTTCGTGCCTGTCCTCTCGTCGGTGCCCAGACTACAATTTTGGCGATCATTGGATCGAAGTGGATGGAGATTTGCGATCCGCTTTGGACACCGGTCTCGAAGCGAATGTGTCTAGACTCTGCCTCCGATAGTTTCGCGGGCTGCCAAAGCCTGATGGTGCCCGTCTGCGGAAAGAAGTCTCGGCTGGGATCCTCAGCGCATAGTCGGCATTCGATTGCATGACCTACTTGCTGAATCGCTTGGAGTCGAGGAAGCGACGAGAGGTCTCCACCTGCCGCTACAAATAACTGTAACGATACGATGTCCAACCTGGTGACCTCCTCGGTAATGGGATGCTCGACCTGTAAACGGGTGTTCACTTCGAGGAAGTAAAATTTCCCAGTCTGCACGTCAAAAACGAATTCCACGGTACCAGCGTTCTCGTAGCCGAGTAGTTTCGCTACGCGGACGGCGGCTTCACTCATTTCTTGGCGCTTGGCGGCATCGAGCCACGGCGAAGGCGTCTCTTCGATCACTTTCTGGTGACGTCGCTGAACTGAGCACTCCCGTTCCCCGAGACTGTACACATTGCCATGCTTATCGCCGATGATTTGAATCTCAATGTGCTTGCCCGCTTCGATATACTTCTCCAGAATACAGTCGCTGGAACCAAAGAATCGGGCAGCTTCAGATTGGGCTGTGCGAAGTTCTCCAGGAAATGCGGACGCTTCGCGGACAATGCGCATGCCCTTTCCTCCGCCACCTGCTGAAGCCTTCAACATGACGGGATACCCCATCTCGTCCGCGAATCGCTGAAGGTCGTCGACATTTTGACTTGCTCCGAAGGCACCGGGTATCAACGGCACTCTAGAATCATGTTCCCGCAAATAGGCTTTTGCTGATCTTTTGTCGCCCAACGTGGACATCGCATGGGAGCTTGGCCCTATGAATGCAATCCCTGCCTCCCGTACAGCAGTTGCAAAGGCCGCATTCTCGCTGAGGTATCCGTAACCTGGGTGAACAGCGTCCGCTCCAGTACTGAGCGCAGTCTGAATCAAAAGGCTGATGTTGAGGTATGGATTGCCACCTTTCTGATCGATTGCTCCCAGTCCGATGGCCTCGTCAGCTTCGAGAATGTGTTTGGAAGTCGCATCCCTAAGCAAAGACGGTCAGCAGTAGTCAACGTAGGACTATGCATTCCTTGAAATCAATTACACACTCGTCGACATATACGGCGATCGTTGTCACGCCGAGCTTCCGACAAGTTTCAGCTATTCGACATGCTATCTCTCCACGATTTGTTATCAACACTCGTCGGATCCTTCGTTGTTCATCGTCATCGAGGGGGATAGGCGCAATGTATAGTGCAGCCGGCTCGGTCGACGAGATCGCCAGGCCTGAAGTTTTCGACATTGCCATTCGATTGTGTGTGTATGATAACTCTTTGACGATAGTACTGAACAGATCGAAGGCTGGCGTAGTACAGGTGTGTTCAATGCCGTACATACCAAAACCTACAACCCTGAGCGTGGCACACGGAATTGCCGTTTTTGGCTAGAAACGCGGTCCGTGTGGGGACGGTCGGAGACGGCCCCAGAATGTGAGTTACTCTGGGCTTCGATCTTGGCAACGCGTCGGCAGCCAGCATGTAGATGACTTGGACATCGTGGGCGAACACCTCTGCCGACTACCAGAAGCGACCGCTTGAACAATGTCGAAACGCACACGGATACCGTATGCAGAGCCACTATGGCTCAGCCGCGGCACTTCGCCGTTCTACAACGAGTCGCATCGACATTTGCAACGGGAGGTTCGCAAATACGTCGATGGCCATTTACTTCCGTTCGCGGATCAATGGGAGACTGAAGGTGTTGTACCAAAAGAGGTGAGTACTTCGCGGCGCCAAAGATCCCAGATTTCTTGCTCTCAGTCGAAAATGGACGCTGAATTTTTCTTCGACAGGTCATCGCGGAGCATTCGCGATTGGGTTATCAAGCAGCAGCAGTATACCCTCTCGCAAGGGCGCAGCTCAATGGCCAGCGTCTGCCTGGCGATATCGATCCAGAGCACTGGGATGGTTTCCATGATCTGGTTGTGATAGACGAGATAGCACGAATAGGCTATCTCGGTGTTATCTGGGCGCTGACTTGTGGTAACTCCATTGGAGCCCCTCCGCTCGTGGTATATGGTAATGAAGAGCAGAAGCGGAAGTACTTGCCGTCAGTCCTGAGTGGGAGCACGAGGTTTTGTCTCGCCGTGACGGAGCCAGATGGTCAGTTAGACGGTGCATATACACCAACAAATGCTGACATTTGGCGCAGCTGGATCCGATGTTGCAGGCATTACCACTACCGCGGTCCGTCAGGGTGACAAATACATTGTCAATGGCGCCAAGAAATGGATAACAAATGGGTCGTTCGCGGACTACTGTACTGCTGCGGTGCGCACTGGTGGACCAGGCAAGGATGGAGTGTCTGCGTTGATCATTCCGTTGACTGCGCGAGGCGTGACGCGTAAGAAAATCAACAATTCTGGCGTTCTTTCGAGTGGTGAGTGGGCTGTCTTGGAGTATCGCGCGCACCAGATACTGATGGCGTATCATCGCAGCCTCCACATACATCGAATTCGATGACGTTGAAGTGCCAGTGGAGAACTTGTTGGGTCAAGAGAATCGCGGATTTGGGATCATCATGTCCAACTTCAACCACGAACGGTTGTGGCTAGGCGCCACGAGTCTGCGGCTCGCGCGGTGTTGTATTGAAGATGCCTATCAGTACGCAGCGGTACGTGAGACATTCGGAAAGCCACTGCTGGACAATCAGATGATCCGGAGCAAGTTCAGTGCGAGCGGGAGAAAGGTGGAGTCGGCACATGCTCTCATGGAGCAGCTGGTATATCTCAATTCGGAAGCCCAGCGCAAAGGCGTAGACGCGCAGCTTGGAGGGCAGTTCGCGAACTTCAAAGTGCTGGCAGCACAGACGCTGGAGTTCGTGAACAGGGAGGCCCAACAAACCATGGGCGGTCTGGGCTATTCCAAAGGAGGTCGGGGAGGACGCGTGGAACAGATCAGCCGAGACGTGCGCGTCATGGTGGTCGGCGGTGGTAGTGAAGAGATTCTGGCGGATTTGGCCATTGTGCAAGAGGTTCGTGGATTGAGTAAGTTGTGAGTGAGTGCAGTTTGGTGGAAGAAGAGCAATGCTCGGATAAGGGATGGAATGGCCCGTTCCGTTCTCAATGAAGGTTGATGGGGCGGGTCGTGAATTAATTGACGACCTCAAGACCACTTCAGCTCCCACTTCTGTCTTTCGTCCTCGCCCAACACAACACGGATGTGATATATGAAAACGCATTCTAGCCCCGTGGAGACCATTCTTCGAAACTCTGATTCTTCAGTTCTTCTCCTCCTTCTGTTCCAGCTAACGCCTCGATTGCCGTATGTCCAGGCCTCTGACGTGACTGGACGTGGCAATGCGGCTGTGGCAAACAACCAGCGCTACCCCACCTCTGCCTCCGCCATACTAGATCTGTGAAGCCTCGCAACAGCCTGGCCACTCTGTCTTCACTTCTGCCGTTCGAACATGTCGCGTAACGGCGAGCCGGAGGCTAAGCGTGTTCGCCAAGCATGTCTGAACTGCAGGTGTGTCAGAATCCCCTCACCGGGCACGACAGATGCAGCCATGTCAACGGTGAAGGTTGAGGCTACGAGGATATTGTATTGATGATGATAACAGGAGGAAGAAAACACGCTGCCCGGGTGAGCGCCCGGCGTGTGCATTCTGCGTGCGGCTAGGTCAGGCATGTCGCTACGCAGATGCGCCATCTGCCGCAACCATCTCCGTGCAACATGCTGTGGAAAAGGACTTCGCTGCAGCACATTCGTCCCTTAATACTGGCAGCTCCTTCCAAGCCATAAGTTTCCCGTCCGCTATTGGAGAGTCGAGTACGCCTTTTGCCTACGGCAATGGACAGTGGGAAGGCGATCCCGAGGAAACCGAACGCCCCATGCCGGTGCCACAGCGTTTGCCGCAGGCAATGGAGTCATCAAGTCCGATCTTGCATACTGTCTCTCGTGATATTGCCAACCAAGCGGCGGACCGCGCCACACGGTGAGGCCATCTTGTTTCTGAATCTCGAAGGCATCGCGCGTGACTAATGGATGGCGTGCAGCTTCGAAGAACGACCACCGGAACATGTCATTGCCAAACTAACAGACGTGTACTTCTCGAATTGCCAAAACCAGCCATATTGCTTGTTCCACGAGGCTAACATGCGTCGACGGCTTCAGATCGGCGATCTGCCAGAACATCTGCTGCTTGCATTCGCTGCAACTGCTGCACGTTATAGCCGAGACGATTATTTCAAACCGGACCCACTGGTGGCGGTCGCAAGCTATGCAAAGAAGTCATGGGCTATCCTCAAGAACCGAGTGCTTGACGGCGATCCTTGCACCGATCTTGACAGTGTGCAAGCCCCAGTCCTGCTTGCGATCATAGACTTCGTTGGTAAGTCCCGGACTTTAGATGTTCAAGGCTTGTGCACCAGCATTTGAGCTGACAGTCTGGCTTTTAGCTGGCCGACCGCGACAGGGCTGGGTCAAAACTGGCTTGGCCATTCGGTTTGTGCAAGATCTGAAGCTCAACGCAGAGCCTGACGCATCCATACCAGTCTGGCAGCAAGAAGAACGCCGGCGAGTCTTCTGGTCGGTATATTTATTGGATAGCTTCTTCGCTTGCGGTCGGAGTTGGCCCGTCTCTATTGTCGACTCTGACTGCACCGTCAGACTCCCCTGTGTTGAGGAATCGTTCCGTTTGGGATCACATCGAAATGATGCGCCTACCTTGGCTGTCTTGGACAAACCATGGCAGTCAGAGACAGCACAGTCACTCGACAACTTTGCCATCTCGGCACTCACGGCTTCATTGCTCGGGCGTACCGTGAAGATTTCGTCCTTGGAGGACATCCCCACAGTGCCATGCTGGGATCCACAGAGCGGATTCGCGAAGCTCAGTAGTCTGCTCATGAGTTTTGAAAGCAGACATGCCACAGGGTCCGAGAACCCGACTCAACACATCAACGAGCTCTATGGCACTTACGAAGGCTATGACCGGCAGCGAGTCGGTTCCTTCGTATGGGCCCGAAGTCTGTACCACTTTTGTGGTGCCCTACTTTATCGGCCTAGTCACTTATACAATCATCGTTGGCGCTGGGGCAACATTTTTCCCCCAAGCTTTGCCAGAGATGGTTTGGATCGCTGCCAACGGCACTGTGCGCAGCTTACTGACGTTCTGAAGACAGTGCAACACACCGGATGTTGCGCTCGTGGAAGCTCACTAGGTTACATTGCAGCTTGCATTGCTTCTATTCACAAGTTGTTCCTGCACTCACCAGATGAGAACACAGTGACCAAGGCAGCTGAAGGTTTGGAGACATGCCTGAAGTTCTTGGAGCACTCTCATCAGAATTGGGCCCATCTCAAGCCAATGGTAAGCGACTCACCCGAGCTCACAACTTGCACACTCCCTTCATGTCCCGCACGTTGATTCACATGCGTCATCGATTTGTGCTGAGCGGTAAGACAGAAACTGGCTATCAACGAGTTCAACATCGACCCAGCACTCGCGCGACTTCTTGTTGATTCGACACTCCCCGCGACGATCGAAATGGACAAAGCTCAGCGCGACATCCTTGAATTTGTGCTCGACTACGTATGGCTGAGTGATGTCACCCGTGCACCTGCTTCGGCGATACCTCCATCTGACTCCAGTCTCAACCAAGGAGACTGGAATTCTTTGCTGAACTTTGACGGGCTTCTGTCACCTGTGAACTTCGTAGGCGGAGATCTCAGCCCGGAAATGTCACAACACCGCAGTCAGGAGGGACTTGACGACACAGCGGGTTTGCTTTCTGGACATGATCAAATCACAATGGCTTGCTAGCATTCTGCTGCAGGCATTGAGGACCACCGTCTGTGTCGGAGCAGCAACAATGACGCAGATTCTTGGCAGGAGCGGACTTGACTGCAGCTCTTGCATTTCAGACCGATGCGGTCTCTAATTTCCGCTCCAGTGTTAGTCAACGTGGTCGATCCACCTACGTTTGTGCACCATGCTGTCCTCAACACACCCGGAGCGCCAGGACCGACATCATCAGATTGTTGTGCAAGCGGGCTATTGTTGCCGCGCCTTGAGGCCCATACCTGTTGGTTTTTTGCTCCACACGGTATGATCTGCTTTGCTGTGCGGCTGAGACAGCTTCAAGATCGCTATGTTCGTGTGGTGAAATCCACGTCACAAGCTCAGTCCAGAACTTTCGATAGAAAGCCATCGCTGACTGTAAACGAGCACAATACAAGTTCTGATCAGCCTGGCGGAAGTGCAGTCCGGCCACGTTGAGAACAGAGAGGAATTATAAGGCGGGATGCGCGGCTCGCTCAGCTGACCGGGCGGCCTCTAATACTTACGCCAGCTCAACGTGACAAAGACAGCCCATTGGGCGCCAGAACATCCAATGCGTCAAACCTGCATGACGATGCCAGCGCGCTCCTCTGCACAGCTGTGAACGATGATTCTTCATAAGCCGTGTCCATCCGTGCAGGCAGCAGGGCGGAAAGTGCGTTGGCAGGGCTGTACGCAGGGTCACTGGCGACAATAAGCATAAATCAACCACGATCTCGCATGTTCGAAACGTGGAACCAACCACATGGTGTACCTTCAGAGATCTGCAGCCGCAATGAGCAGCATTCATGAATGGCGGTTCATAAAAATACCAGGTCCAGGTTTCCAGCGCCTCACCGCTCAAGGGCTGTGCCGCCTCATTCTATAGATCTGCTCTTTCGAAAGCTATCGCGAACCGCTGCAGGATCACCTCGGTCGCCTCATTCCAGACTGCCTCCTGCTTGCTCCTTGGTGCCCCGCAATGCATTGGCACTCTTACATAGGTCTGTCCCGTGCTACCAGAGCTCGATTGATCCATAGCTCATCGATGGGAAGAACTCTGAAGTACGTTTCAACTGAGTGCGCCATTGCTCCTTACTGAGATGTCTTAGCGAAGCACCTGACCCACAAGCGCCATGCAACTGGTAACCACAGGAGTGGAAGGTCTCTCGGAGGATGCCATCACAATCTCACCACGGCTGGAGTCCGTGAGCAGGACGACACGTTCCTTTTTTGGGTACATGGCATGCCGGGAAACGATGACCTACTCGGGCGAGGCGGAAACGTCGAAGAAACAGTTGACACGTCTCAAACGGGACAGACAAGAAAACCCCATTGCGTTCTGGGTCAGTGAGGACCTGCAATGGGACCCTCACGTGCAGCCCAAGACGAGCCAGAAGGATGCCAGATTTCCAGAGGAGAGCAACAGTCCCTCAAGCACGGCATCACGTCCTAGGATTGGGAGAAAGGCCCAGTTGGCGCACCAATGGCGCGTGTTTGTGCACTCAGCCCCTGCTGATCTTGGAGGGATTGCCATGGCCTTGACGAGCGTATTCTTTCGGAGACGCCTTCTCCTTCTGCCGCTCTTCGTGTGCATAGCCGCCGGGCCCGTCGACGACACTTGGCCCGGAGCTCATGGTCTTCCCCCAGCGGATACTACAGAACAGGGCTTACTATGGCTGTGGCGTCTCCTGCGTCCTCTACTGCCACTTCCGATCAACATCGCCGGACTGATCTGGTCCGGGGTCCTGCTCATGAGACGCGTCAAAGCCAAAGCACCTTGCGGGAAATTCTCCATGCTTTTCTTCTTCATCACTATCAGCGGTCCGGTCACCTTGGCCATTTGCTATGGAATTTCCACACCCGATGACCGCGACCTGGCAGTGATGACATCCATCTGCCTGTTCTTTGCATATCCTTTCGCGACCCATCTCGGATGCCTTTTGGTCCACAATGTCCGCATCTACACAGTCTATGTGCTGGCACTTGTGCTGACCTGCATGTTGGTCTTACCAACGCTTGAAAGGCGTATCCATGATGGAGAAGCACGTCGATTGCTCAATGTGCTCCGATCTCCACTGTTCGTCCTTCTAGCGTTTCTTGGGTTCCAGATGGCACATCTTTGTGTTTTACAGAACCCTCTCCGCGATTGCTCTCTGCGCAGTCCCTTGCGGGGCCTTCGAGGCGCTGTACGGCAAGACTGTCGGCCTTTGATGGGAAGCGAGCAAGACGACATCGCCAGCGAAGACATATTGCTGGATGACCGATCGCACGCTTGATTTTCTTTTGGAGTTTGCGAATCTGGCCATGGCACCAGAAGGATCTTGCCATGTCTTTTGAATGATCTGTTTCATTTGCTAGGCGTTGACGGCGATTGTTCACTGTAGCGTCCGTAATCACGGAGCCAAGATATATATCTCTGCACCACTAGTGCGGCTGTGGTAGATACGACGATGGGCTGTGCGCAAAACGCAGCCTTCTTTCCGTGTACATTCATTGGGTCGTGCCTGTGCCGTTCATTCTCCACACTCCTTCCTCGCCCTCCTCTCTTTGAGATTGGCCTCAATAGTCTTGATCATTTCGTTACCCACTTTCGTCGCATCCGCCACTCTCGGTCTGAAGTACTTCTGAATACGTTCAAACTTCTCCCGATAGCCATCCATGTGCCCCAACTGCACGCGTTCGGACCAGTCTCTCGCCGCAAACGTGAATTCCAGATCATCGGCACGGAACGAGACGTCATTGAGAGCGGTCGAAATGCATTCGGACAGCAAAGCAGGAGAGCGGTAGACGTATTCTGTGATGCCGAGCCAGAGGCGGAAAAGCTAGACTGACAGTCAGCAAAAGCCAAACACGCATCTACCAGGAGCAATAGTATCCTCACCGGCGTCGAGCAAATCATGTGATCATACGGCACGATCCCCAATTTCCACCAACAGTCAACAATCGCCAACAAACTCAAATGGTTGTTCTTGACGCGTTGCTGCGGCTTGTCGCCCAAGGAGAATTTGTCCAATAGCTCATCTTCCAGCAGCAATTCTTCCTTGTCCTCTCCCTTTGGATGTCCGCTCTCTGCACCGAACACCGCGTCTCGGGCCGCATAAATTCTGTTTTCGAATTCTTCTTTCTGATTTGATAGCATGAGCTTGTACAATTCAGTCACGCTTTCGGCGTACTGAGCGATTTGCGCTTTAGCCCAAGGATTCAAAATCGCGAGGCCGGCGTAGACGTGCCATTTGTTACTGTAGATTCGCATCATGAGGTTGATTTTGACATTTTCGATGCCGCCAATGTAGCGGGGGACTTCCCAGGGGAATTGGTCGTTGGCTTGCCATGCCGTTCCCATGGATAGGAAGGCGAGATGCGTGACGGCTTGGGTATCGGCTGTAATGCGATCATGCTTCTCGGCGGAGAGGGGAACAAAGGTGGATTCGAAGCAGGAGAGGATGCGCTCGACGAGGGCGACTGATTTGTCGCTAGCGCGGTGGTTGATGATGACGAGAGGCTGGCCTTTGGGATCAACGCCGGGGCCGTGTAGAGAGTGGCAGGAGACGATCTCAACATCGGAGGGCAGGTGTCGTTCAAAGGCGGCGATTTCTGGGGCCTTGGTCGAGGTCTGCCCGCCGACAATGGCTCCCATGCGGGTGCTGGGACCGTACTTCGCTACGATAGCATCGATGTTCTTGGCTTCGACGCTGTACATGATCCAGTCACTGCTGCGGGAGACGAGGTGACCATCTGGAAGGATTGTGACATTGCTCTGGAGGATACGCGTTCAGCGAATGCTTCTCTTGCTGTATTTTTCGGAGACTATATAGGTGGTGTCCTACTCTGCTGGCGAACTCGGCCTTAAGGGCTTCGTACTTTTCGGGAACATCGCAGGCGTGGACTCTGGTTGCTATCAGTAGCTGGAGATGACCTGGTAGCATGTTAGCTGCGTGTTCCTCGAGTGGTAGCAAGGCGAGCAGGTGTAGATGCGGTGCTGCGTTTCAGACAAAATTGTTAAGGTAGCTGAGATTTTACATCATTGACGATCGCCGGGTCACAGCGCGCCATGACGACGCAAAGTGGTGCCCGGCGAGCATACTCGAGCCAAATGCACTCAAGTCATCATTGCAGAGGGAGAAGGAGGGGAATTGGCGGAGGTTGCGCTTACCATTGATGTGTTCCACTCCAAGCAGGCCGTAGAAGAGGCTGCACTCACTTCCACCCAGCGTCTGCAATCCTCCTCGCGTACATCTTTCCCATGTCGCCCATGCCAATGATGCCTACGACGGCGTCCCCCATGTCGGCGGCTGGCGTGCTGTGATCCGGTGAAAGTGAAGGAAAGTCTGCTTCAGCCTTCGGGCGGCACAGTCATGACTCTTCCGAGCTCACAAGAAGGTGGCTGTGGAAGGAAGTCGGCGCGAGAAGAGGAATGTTGCGGTGGAGAAGGTGAGGGAGATTTGCAGTCAAGAAAAAGAGCTGTCCGGCGCGCGTGGAACGAGCCGCGGGGATCGGGCTTGGCGCAAATTTAGCTCCGACAAGCCCACCAATTTCGACGTCTCAAGACGCACGACACTTCTGCTGTTGCTTCTCCAGCGTCAGGACAAGACAGACACATCCAGCAAAAATGGCACCAAAGAAGGCAGCACCGCGTGTGCAGGAAAATGTTCAGCTCGGCCCACAGGTCCGCGAGGGTCAGTTGCTCCCATCAGCGCCGCAACCAGCGCACGCGACATTGGAAACAGCAATACTGATGGAATGAACAGGCGAGCTCGTCTTCGGCGTCGCACGTATCTTCGCCTCCTTCAACGACACCTTCGTCCACGTCACCGATCTTTCGTACGTTTGATCCTCCCAAAATCAGCGACTCGCGACAATCCTGGAAGCGCAAAAGAGACAGAAACGTCCGCTCGAGGGATTGGCCGGGCTGCATTGTACAAAACTTTTTCTGCATGGTTCATAGGCTAACCTGGGTGATTCCAGTGGCCGCGAAACCATCAGCCGTGTCACCGGTGGTATGAAGGTCAAGGCCGACCGTGACGAGTCCTCTCCATACGCTGCCATGTTGGCTGCCCAGGACGTCGCTACCCGCTGCAAGGAGTTGGGCATCACTGCCCTCCACGTCAAGATCCGCGCTACCGGTGGTAAGTCGAAATGGAATCATACTAGATACCTGCACAGCATGGCTAACAGTCACCTCAGGCAACGGTACCAAGACCCCAGGTCCAGGTGCCCAGTCCGCTCTTCGTGCCCTCGCCCGTTCTGGCATGAAGATCGGCCGTATTGAGGATGTCACCCCAACCCCATCCGACTCTACTCGGAGAAAGGGTGGTCGCCGTGGTCGTCGTCTGTGAGCGCTTTGCATATTATTTGCATGCGATCTCGCAGCTCTTGCATGGGACATGGCTACGAGCATCATGAACAGAAAAAGGCCCATTTGCTGGATGTGACGCTATCGCGGAGGACGGCATTAATCGCCTGGTCTCCATGTGTGATTTCCATAGTCACGCATTATGAAAGCAATACCTGATTCTGGCGAATTTGTCATTCTCTCTCAACTTCCCGCAGATTTTTGCTTCTGTCAACACAAAGCGCTTTGCGCAGAGAAAAGACGCTCGCAGCGCGTCAATTGCACAAATTGCGTTCTGCGACACTGACATTGCTCACAGTTTCCACATTTCAACCTCACAAGAATACATGAACGCCAAACAGCTTAAATCAAGATCGAAACTTTTCATCAACTAAAATCATGTATTTTTCGTTCCCGAAGTCAGCGCCGTTGTGATCCTACTGCTTCTCAATTCGTCGATCTCTCGATCTCCCAACTCGGCTCAAGCCCAATGCACTCGTTTCCCATGACTCGCCCGACGTCTAGACCGGCTGCTCTCCCTGAAAGACAAACAAGTCAGCATACACGCACACTTACAAGACCTCCCGCAAAGAAAAAAAAGGATTTAACTTACCCGACCATCCCCAAACTCTCCATCTCCCTTCCCACACCCCACAGATACAACTTCCTGCCACACTTGGGACACCTCGCACTGGTGACATCCGACCAGTTCGGATGTGCGTCTCGGGAGAAAGACGTTTTGGCAATGGGTTCACGACCTGTGTAGCGGACTCCGTAGGTTCGACATTTGGGAGTGAAGCCTCGGCCTGGGTTGGCGGGACAGCGGGTTTGGATGTTGCCTGTGTAGCCGCAGCGGCAGGGGACGGAGTAGATGAGACACATTTTTGGTCTCTGCTTGTTTTGGGGCTCCTGGGGATAGGAGTATGAGGGAGGAGAGTGGAAGTGTGTTCTCTTGTGAGTATTGCTGAGGTGTCGTAGCTTGTCGATATGGGGTTCTTGAGAAGATTTGCCTGGATGGACTGGCTGTGAACTGATCCGGATGTGTTGTCTCTTCTCTTCCTCAGGGCTGTGGTGGCGGCGATGAAGATCGAAAGATCAGGCGAGAGGATGCGATACTTGTATCATGCTGCGTGTTGTCTTTGACCGTGTACCATACGTCCGGCGGCGAAGCCGCAGCCACAGATGGACATATGGAAGATGTCTTGGGCGTGGCCAGCTTTTAACATGGTATGTATCCTGAAACTGTTTGTCAGATGGAAGACTGTGGTGAATGATGGTTGGACTCATAGCTTGTGAGGATTCGAACCTGCTCCTTGTGACAAGTGCGGTGGATTGAGAATCAGGAGTCGGAAGACGAGAGCATGTGATGAGACTCGACTATGCTTGATGGAAGGTACACAGCATACCGCTTTGAATAGCATATGCTACTACTATGGAGACGGAGTGGTGAATAACAGGATCTGCTGTTGCATCAAGCATGTGCACCTCCAATTCTTTCCACTGACTCGTGCATGCGATGAGAAGGAGTGAGAGAAAAGCACGTGCATGACCATAAGACAACCTCATGTGCGCTGCTCGCATCTCCACAGTACCTCGTGCGTGTCTCACTCCGCCTCGATCTCTAAGAGACAGTCACCTCCGCATTTCCAGCACTATTGTATCCTTCCGTAGCGAAGATCTGTCACATTCCCAGTCGTCAGTCACAAGTTCTTCACATCCCCATGATCCGAACACCAAGCATGAAGCATATGGCACGAGCAACTCACCTGATAATCATGGGCACCCAACTGCAGACCTGCCGCCTCCCATGCTTCAAAATGCGCGCCAACATCCACAGATCCGCTTGACCGCTTGCTTTGCCTGACAGAAATGTACTGCTGAAACGTCTGCGTCCCATCGATCGATGGAGCATTTGTGCGAGTATTCTGGCAGAGTTGGTAAGAAGAGCCATCGATGGTCACAGAACCTTTTGGTTGAGAGGAAGAGGCACAAGGGTTATATTCCCCAATGTTTTCGAGAATGTAGTACTCGACCAAAGGGCTGCGAGTCCAGCCGTAAACAGTCAGGTAAGCGTTGCCGTTGTTCTGAGGGTTGAAGGATGCGTCGAAGGAAACGGTTCTGGGCTCGTGTCAATATCATTGTTCATCGATGTTGGATGCGCTGGGTTTGTAGAAAGGAGTGTCACCTCGCAGATCCAGTCTGATATCCCTTGCCGCCAACGAAGTTTCCATTGCCGGACCATTCGACGCTATAGGAGCCCCCGGCGCCGTTGCTGTAGACATGGTTGCCGCTGCCGTCACTCCACCAGCTATAGTACCAGCCATTGTTGGTTCCCGTGCCTGATGGGATGCCTTGGCGCTTGAAGAGGAGTGGAACATCGGCATCTGTGGCGTTGACGATTTCGTTGGTATCGAAGGCCGAGTCGAATGGCATGGCTGAGCTACCAATGGCAGCAAAGGCCGCGAGAACTATGTTGGAGAGTGAAGGCATTTTGTGAGATCTCAAGTCCGGTGATTTGTTATCTGTCTGCTTGTTTCGTTGTGATGCTGAAGCTGGGTACCTCACAATGCAGAATAGCCTGGCTGTCCTTATATCTTTTCGCCTCCTCTACAGTCGCTCGCTGTGCGATCTGGCTCCAAACAAGACCATCTCGCGGACGAAAACGCACCTGGTAAAGTGTCTTGGCCAGATGATAAGTGGTGTGGCTCTTCGATCATCGTGCAACAGCTCTCTGGGCAGTATGTGGTTGACCATTTTGACTTAGTTCGGCACCTTGGCTGTTTATTCTGCTACTTTGTGTGAGACTTGTGCCCGACACATCCTAGAAATTTGCTTGTGGTTGGCTTGCTGAACTACGAGGCTGCAGGAGGTGGGTATGGTTGCACTCTTGGCGAACTCGGCTCTGTCTATGCTATACACCTCGCTTGTCAGCTGAAACAACATATACTTGAATGTGACCCACATGATGGAATCTTGACCTTCTGTTTGGGTACGCTGTGGGTTCTGCTTTGCTGGCACGAGTTCATGTTCCAGAGCGACCAGAATGGCCTTTTTTCAGAGATTTGAAAAGTTGAAGATGTTTGCATGTTAGCTTTTGAACGTTGATTCATAATAATACATCATCTAGCAGTTGCGACCGCCAGTAACGCTGATGGTCTGTCCTGTCACGTAGCTGAACAGCGGACTGCACACAGCCATGACTGCGCTTGCAGCTTCAGTGGCTGTTCCGGGCCTTCGCAAAGGGATATCGGCATGAGCCGCTGAGCCAGCAGCATCCTTTTGCTTCTGCGGAATACCGAGGGCAACCTTCTCTCCATCTGGGGTCGTCACGAAAGCTCCTTCCTCTTTAGCCGCAGTGAGACGGGTCATGATGTGTCCGAAAGCGATGGTATTGCAGCGGACGCCGAAGTTTGGACCCCACTCCTTCGCAATGGCCTTGGTCAAGCCTGTAACACCAGCCTTCGCGAATGCGTAGTTGGCCTGCCCGGCGTTTCCGTGGATGCCTGAAGTCGACGAGATGTTGACGATGCTGCGTGGCTCGCCGTCCTTGACACGGAAGTATGGTGCAGCAGTTCGGATGAGCTTGAATGGAGCTGTACCGTGCAGGTTCACAATCGTGTCCCATTGCTTGTCCGTCGTCTTGTGGATCACGCCATCCCATGTGAATCCGGCATTGTTGACGATGATGTGGATCTTTCCGCCGCCAAACTCAGCCGACTTCTTCACGAGCTCCTTGATGTAATCGTCGCTGAGGATATCGCCGGGTACGTTGATCGCTCGTCCGCCGCTCTTGTTGATCGCATCGGCTACTGCTTGTCCCTTCTCTGCCATACTCGTCAGCTATACTCTCGGATCCTTGGGCCGTTGAAGTACGCACTGCCGTCAATGTCTGAAACGACAACATTCGCTCCCTCGTTTGCAAAGAGTCTCGCGGCTTCAGCACCAATACCTTGGCCAGATCCTGTGATGATTGCGGTCCTGGAGTAGAGTCAGACTCTGTTCAGACGGAAATATTCAGGCAACGCCTTGAATCATCTATACTTACTGTCCCTTGAACATTCCACTTGGATAGTTAAGTTGAGGTGCCATTTTTGCTGTATATGGTCGAGGTGTATGCGTAGAGGATGAAGGATGAGATAGAGTGGGAAATGGTCTTACCGGCAAAGGCTACATATTCTACACGCACTCGGTACAGCTCGTCTCGCGTGGGTTGACAGCTGCAGAACAACCTCGGTCGTCGGTGATGACGGAAATGTCGAGCAATGTCCGAGCTTGTTGAATGCCTTGTAAAATCAGGCAGGAAGTTTCTTGGCGATCTGCTTACCTTCAGCTGAGCTGACATTCGTCCTCGACGCGTTTCCCACTTTAGCCATGGCTCCTTTGATGAACGACGATGGGCCGTCTAACGAGCCAGCAGCTTCCTCAGCAAAACCGCGGCTGCTCATCATCGGCGCAGGCAGCCGAGGAAATGGCTACGCCAGAGCAGTCGTCGACTCCGGCCTGGGTGTCGTGGCGGCGGTAGCTGAGCCAGTTGAGTTCAAACGGAAACTCCTCGGATCACGATTCATTTGGCCTGGTGCGGATGCCACGCCGGAGCAAGAGTTCGCTGGCTGGAAACAGTACATCAAGTACGAGCAAGAGCGACGGAAGGACGAGGCTGCTGGCGTTCCTGTGCCTCCTGGTGTTGATGGAGTCTTCATCTGTGTCCACGATGAGCATCATATTGAAGTCCTGACAGCGATTGCACCTCTCGGCCTGCACGTTATGGCTGAAAAGCCGCTGGCAACTACCTTGGCAGACTGTCTGAAGATTGAAAGATCGATTCGGGCTGCAGAGGAACGCATTTTCGCAATTGGTCATGTGCTGCGATACAGCCCGCACAACATGCTCCTCCGCCATCTTGTTCGTGAGAAGCGGATCATTGGCGATATCTTGTCAATCGAGCACACGGAGCCTGTTGGCTGGTGGCACTTCAGTCACTCGTACGTCCGGGGCCATTGGCGCAAAGAAAAAACGACCGCTCCCAGTCTACTGACAAAAAGCTGTCATGATATTGACTTCATCCTGTGGATGCTGTGTTCACCCCTTCCAGACAGCAAAGAGTCGACTCATCTTCCAGCTCGATTGAGCTCGTCTGGCTCGCTAAAGCAGTACAGGCGTTCACAGAAGCCAAAAGAGGCCGGCGAAGCTACGAATTGTGTCTCATGCCCGATTCGAGATACATGCAAGTACTCTGCTGTTCGAATCTATCACGATAGACACCTTGCTAAAGGCAATGCGAAGTGGCCTGTAGAAATTGCTAATCCAGAAGTTGAACATTTACTCACGACGAAAGGCGCCGAGAGCGCAAAGCAAGCTCTTTGGAAAACACTCAGAGAAGACTACGATGCGAAAACCACACCTCTTGCAGATATTGAAGGCAGGTCCTGGTACGGCAGGTGCGTTTGGGAGAGTGATAACGATGTTTGCGATGATCAGTATGTGACGATCGAATGGGACGACCACTCACCTGGTCTAGGAGCCAAGACAGCCTCTTTCCACATGATTGCTCAGTCTCTGGCTCAATGCGAACGCAGAGGACGGATTTACGGCACGTCTGGAGAGATCGCGTACGACAGCAAAAGCATCACGGTTCACGACTTTAAGAATGATACGACAGAAACGTTTAATCCAGAAGTGCCGAAGAATTCGCACCATGGAGGTGGAGATGACGGCCTGACGCAGCAGTTCTTGAAGGCCATCATCGCGACTAATAGTGCATCGATGAGCGTCGCAGCAGCTCAGGTGGAGTACCTTGGCTGTACGATGGAAGAAATCATACGTTCGCACGCGGCCGTCTTCGCGGCGGAAGAGGCCAGGAGAGAGCGTACAATCATCGATTGGCAGCAGTGGTGGCAGCGGAACGTGGCGGGTACAGCAAACAGTAGTGCTTCTTGAATCCGGGCACGGCGCACTTTCTCCTCACACGCAGGCACCGATCATTGTCAGGCATACGGCATTGGCGGCGCTGGCACCGACTACATATGACATAAGTTGACCTCACTCGGATCCTGGCACAGGCTAGCCATTTTGGCACAAGCGCAGTGCTGCCGCGCGTGCTTTTCTCAACATCACTTCGATTCAGTCCGGCATTACATGTTGCTCCCGCATGCACTGAACCAGTAGAGGAATTGAATGCGAAGCATCGGTCCACCAATTCTCCTTCGCGTCCGCGTGGGCGTCTTGCCGAACAGAACCGCAATGCTGAGGATGGAGAAAATTCTTAGTAACGTGTTCCACAGATATGATCTCATAGTCATCTTCACGTCGTCAGCTCATGTTTTGCAACACGAAGTCGGATGCAAACCCTTCCCAGGCCGAATCTTTGACGTCGAATTTGTTGTGTGGTCGGCCTGAAGAATGCCTGGTCGGCTCACATGCACTCAGCACTCTCCTCGAAAACGACGTGGCAGCAATGACCATGTCACATATTGCTGCAATAACGGAATTGTTTGAAGAACTCAACAACAGCACCGAAAGAGCAAGACTGCAGGCATCGAACGCTCTGGCGTTGGGGTAGCGCGGTTCTTTACCAGCCGCGCTTGCGCCATTTTCATCAATTTCTTGCCTCTTTTGTCGGACATGATGTGTTCCTGCGCTAGACTGACATTCATCACAAGGATAATCTGCAAGGTACAGAACCACAAGACTCATTCCAATTGGCTTTCTGGTCCTCATTCCAGGCGCCGTTCTCGAGCTGGCACACAGGACGTGGAGAAACCGCAGCGACGCTCAGAGAAACGCCCGATTCTCCTGATGCAACTCCCGCTACTGGAGCAGATGCACGATCCAAGTGCTTGCGTGTCTCATGGACTTCGATGGCTCCTGTGTGGTCTTTCCGGTCTCCTTCGATGGGCGGGTCACGAAGATGTCACTCAAGCAAACGCATCATGACTTGATCAAGGACGTCGTATAGGCGCTGCCTCTCTATGCCTCGTCCATATAAGCATCATCATCTAAGTGCCCGAGAGGATCGAGCATCTCATCCTCTTTGGACTTTCATCGCCTGTCCATCATTCTCTCAAGATCGTTCTAATCATTAATTGTCTTTCGCTTTTATAATGACCACATTCCTCCTCACAGCCGGCCTTGTTGCTGGAGCAGCTGGCGCAGTCCTACCTCGACATGACAACGGCCAATGCCAGTTTCAGCTCACAGCTGCAGGCGGAGCCTCGGGCACAGTCGGACAGCTTGATGATGGACAGAACCGCATCGGTGGCAGCTTCGAAGCTGCGACCTACTCCCTTGAAAATGGGGCTATCAAGGACTCCAACAACAGAGGCTGTATCTTGACACCTCCGACCTCCCAATTCCAGTGCGATGAGGGTGCCACTCCGACTTCGGGTTTCTCAATTGGCGAGGGAGGCGAAGTGCAGTTTGATGGCAGTACTAAGTTCTTCGCTTGCGGCGCTACAACCGAAGACAAGGAGTGGAACATTTACACCACTCCAGTCGAGGGCCAGGACGACTGTGTTGAGATCACCTTGAGCACTGGTGGGGAGTGCAGTGGCTCTGACAATGGTGGCGCCTCTTCTACCGGCGTAGTCTCATCGTTTGCGACAGCTGCCACAACGAAGGTCGAGTCTACGCCTGTGGTGCCTGTCGTGTCAACTTCGGTCGACCAACCATCTGCTCCTGCATACGGTGCTCCTTCGTCTGCTCCGGCATATGATGCTCCTTCGTCCGCTCCTGCATACGGTGCTCCGTCTTCTGTGGCCTCACAACAGACTTCTACATCAAAAGAGACCGTTCCAGCTTCGATCGAAACTCCTCCAGCATACCCAGTGGACACCCAGCCAGCTTCAAAGCAGACACAGACACCACCACTAGAAACACCCCCGGCATACCCAGTGCCATACAACTCTGCGCCTCCAGCACAGCCATCGACCGTTGCGGAGGGCAAGCCATCTACTCTGATCCAGAAGACTACTGCTAAGGAGTCCATCCCCGCATACACACCAGTTGCTTCAAGCAAGCGGGAGACCAAGACTGTGGAGGGTTCCTTCCCAGCATACACGCCAGTCAAGCCAGGCAAGGAGACCAAGACGGTGGAGACCACTGTCAAGCAGTCTGTGCCCGCATACATCCCAGTCACATCAGGCAAGCAGGAGACCCAAACAGTTGAGACCACTGTCAAGACGTCCATTCCTGCATACACTCCAGTCCCCTCTACCAAGCAAGAGACCAAGACTGTCGAGTCCACTGTGGAGCAGACAACTCAGAGCGCGCCGGCTCAGTACCCTACAGGCGGAGAGCAACCAGCCGAGAGCACTTACGTCCAAACCTCTCAGGCTCAAACCACACCGGCTCAGAGCGCTCCAGCTGAGACCCAGCCAGCCCCATCGAACACTCAGCCCTCCGCCAGCGGAGGCAGTGCGTGCGCAGCCGATCTGTCTGGCGCCTACGAAACCCCACACCTGATCATTCCTGTCTCTTCGGAAGAGAGCTCCAAGGCTTTCGGCACGCAATACAATGCCACCATCTCATCTTCCAAGTCCACAATCTTCAGCTTCGACATCCCAGCTGATTATTCCGAGAAGACATGCTCTGTTGTCTTCCTCTTCCCCAAGCAGGAGGACCTTGAGACATCCGCGTTCACATTCAACGGCCAAGGAAGCATCAACTTCTCCGAGCTGAGCGCTGGTGTGACCGAGAAGACGAGCAAGGACACAGCTCCAAGCAAGAAGCAAGACTTGGGCAAGGTGGAGAACGTTCAGCCTGGCCAGGAGGGACACGTGATCTCTACCGGCAAGTGCGAGGCTGGTAAGACGATTGCAGTCCAGGCTGAGGCTGCTGGTGGATTGGAGTTGGAGTTCTTCCAGGACTGGAACCCTTCGCCAATCGGTGTCTACATCACAGCTTGCTAAATCATAAGAGTTTGATGTAGCGTAAGCAGATTTAGCCTGCTGGATACGAGCGGAATTAGGCTCGATCGAACCATCGACGAGGAATAATGCTAGGATATAGAACTTCGAGGATGACACATGCTCAAGTGGGACATGTTATGACAAGTGGATAGAATAGGAAAGCTCGTTCCGAGCTCTGACGATCGTTAATGAACCTCCTGCAAACAGATAGATTGCAGTATAATGAAAATGCCTCTTCGGCAAGTCAATATGTCCCTAACTTTCGATCAGCTCTCTCACTCTGCGCGACTGAAAACTCCCACTTCTATGACCTCTATTTCCGCACAGCCCTGTTCTGTTGACTCGTCGACACAGACACGCTTGACATTCCTCGTCGGAGCATGATGAGAGGACCGGTGAAAGATCTTGCGAGCGCGTCATAGGGAGCGGCAAGATTGATCTTCAAGATCCTGTTTCGGGCATTGGACGAGACAATCTTCCTCCGCCTCGTACGTCTATCCAACATCTGGTGCTCCTTCCGCTAACGGAGGGTGGTCAAGATCTGCGTAGGAAGGAAGCAGCGCCGGTAAAGTCTTGGCAAAGCAGAGTTGAGTCCAGGCGAGACATTATATTCGGAACTCCATCCTTTTCGTAAGATCGGAGTCTGTTTCATCCGCCATATGCCATTCCTTCCATGATCTCATGAGCGTCGCCTTCCTCGATGTAGGCTGGATCGTCCATGAATTCACCGAACATCCAGAGTGTGCCGCTGAACAGAGCTTGTATGAGCCAGAGTAAATTTTCTTCTGAGAGACCAGTGAGATAGAGAAGATCTTGTTCTGTGATGAGAGTGGAGGTTGGCATGGCTTGTTGTTGACTTTGTGCCTTGCATGGCAGTGCATGCTTCGTGGTCGGGAGACGACGGGAAGGAAGTAAACATAATGAGTAAGCGGTATAGTGGTGGGATCGGCCACTTCACTCCGCCACAACATCATTTCTGCAGAAGAAATCTAGCACAACTTAGGGCTACCGATCAGAAGACAATGTTGTCGCTGGCGCGACTCACCGCTGTTGGATCTGCTAAAATAATGTGGCTTCACGTCTCAGCACGAATCAGTATGCCGCTGCTCTTCATCAGCCGCAGAGTCTCAAACGCGATGGTCTGCGATTAACTGGCTTGGGCAAAATATCATCATCACAACCAGATTGGTGACATCCATCGCTGAAGTCTTCCAAAAAAATGGAATTGCAATTCGCATTGGCCACATACCACCAACACCGCTACCTTTTGCCGCCAAGACTACGAGAGAGCCAGAATGTGACCAGTGCAGCATACCAACATGGCCAATGGCAAGTCAGTTCCGTAGGTTGGAGGTGATGCTACAGGGAATCTACTGTTATAGAGATGGCGTAGGTGGTGAGGGTTTTACTTCTCCGAGATCTCTTTGTGATCGGACTGTCCTGAGGACCAGAATATGGAAAGATCATCTCCTGAATGTGCACGAAGCGATGTCATTGGTCTTGACGAGGTCATGCCAACAAGTATGAAGGGACGAAGAGGCCATTGCGTTCAGCAGATCCGATGGCATGAGGTAGCGGATGAAGGAAATCGCGCATGGGCAGCCTGACTGCAATTGCATATATAAGTCCTGGATTGAACCCGATGAAAGAACACCATCAGCCTCAACACAACATCATCAGCAACAACAGCTTAACAAGATCACAACATCCTTCACCAAAACTTCTTCGATAGAAAAATCCCGAGTACGCGTCATCAGCTACCTTCGTCTCTGCACTCGATTCAAACAATCTTCTGACCACCCTCCAGCAAAATGCACTTCAGCACCATCTCCATCATCGCCGCTCTGGCCACCACTATCTCTGCTCAGTGTTCCTGCGCCAGGAACGATGATGCTGGCCGCTGGATTGACTCCCGGTATTCTCCAGCCGATGCTATCGACACTTTGACGCGCTCAGGACAGTGCATCAAGGCAGAGACCCAGGGAAATATCTGTGTCAACGGTGATGAGAACAAGTTTGGATGCTTGAGGCAATTCGCTCGTCAGCAGCAGAGCTACCATGGCGACTGGTTCTTGTGGACTGCGATTCAGTGCGAAGGACTGGACTTGACTTTCACAGCTTAGATGAGTTGGACAGTAGAGGCAGGGAGAGAGGATTGAAGAAAGGGTGGAGGTGAAGGAAGGGTGGGCGGATTTGTACATTCGTTGAGCTAGACAAATGCATGTGGTTTCCATGGGACGCCATGGCACCCTACTACTACGTTCTTTCACTTTCCAATATGCTATTACGATAGACTGGGAGCGGTGCAACCGCCAGTCACGAGACATCTCAGGCTGTTCACCAGGGACAAAGCCAATTACTACAAAGAACCAATCAGACACCGTTCACTCAGCAATTCACTGGTTGCGAACTTTGTTCTAACTTTATTAGAGGTCCTCTACACCTACCATGACGCTCTTCACCTCAAGTGGTAAGACCAGTCAAAATGGCAGATCTCAACGCCACTATCAAGCAGACAATGATGGTCTCCACACGATCCGCTACCTTCGGGGAGAGAGCCAACAACTACTGGATGCTTGTTGAACCGAAAAGTGGTGCGGAGGCAAGACGCAACCTGGACTCGAAGGGCATATCGTACAAAAAGACTTCTTCGATGAACAGGCTATACGAGCTGTCCTACCGTGTACAACGAGGACTGCTGGTATTAGACAAGTACTCCTTCACAGAGCTCGAGCGAATTTGTGTCCGAAAGCATTACAAACTACCCGACAATCTTCCCAAGGGCAAAGTTGCCGCTCGAAAAGAGCTAACACAGTACCTCGAAGCCCGTGATACCCACAACACGTTCGACAAATTTCTCGACTTGCCGGCAGAGCTTCGAGTCATGATTTACAAATTCCATCTTCAAGACCTTGAGGCCACCGCGGAAAATCTGGAGCACCTCTGGGCGCAGCCACCGATCACCAAAGTCAATAAATTGATCAGAACAGAGACGCTTGACCTTTTCCACAACACCTGCAACTTCACCTTCAAATTTCGACAGAACTCAGAAGACTATTACGAATGGTGCCGCATGGATCTGAAATTCATCACGAGGGCAAAGATGTATCCAATCCGTCACCTGCGCGTCTTCGGCCAGATGTTGGTTCAGCGATCTCACCAGTCCAATTGGCTTGTTGTGATTGATACCAAGGCGAAGACTTTTCGCTTGGACCCTGTGGAGTCTGTGAATCATCCTTTTGCATGGGGTGATGTGGGTTTCGAGGCTGTGCGGTCAGCCATGGAGAAGCGTGTTAAGAAGATCATCGACGAGTGTCGGGACGAGAGGGGTTTGCTCCTGCTGACGAGTGGGATCAGAGATGGGATCGTGGGTTGGTTCGAGCACAGATGAGGGATGGGGAATGACAGATGTGGACGAGGATGATTAATGACATATTGGAGATGATGATGGGCATATTATTGAATGCATACCTAGCTGTTACCAATTGATAGCGGCAGTCTTGCGCGATCGACTGCTGCCAATCGGGAAAGACGCTGTCGTTGATTTCTTCCCGTTCTGATAGAACGTGATAGACCCCTGCGTGCCAGTCTCTAGCATCATAACAACAGGCTGCTTGCCTGCTTCCGGCCACAAAGCGGCTCAGTCACTTCCGATTGCCTCGAAGAGTTTGGCAAAAGGCTGAAGTGTCCTTGCCGTGAATCCATTCTTGATGGAGACATTCTCCTCTACGAAGACGTTCAATCTACGAGTCATGACTTCTCGCACATTCGTCTCCATTGCCAAACTTCCGAAACGAGCACTTGCAGCCGGTGAAGACTCCCATCTGGTGCGTACAGAGGTGACGATGTTGCCCTTGGGCTGCAAGTGGACGTAGTAGTCGCAGGCTAGCCTGAACTCCTGGCCGCCAGAGACATCAAGCATGCCGACGATGTGAAGTCTGCGAATGCGTTGCAATGCTTCCCTTGAAGCCGTACGCAGGAATCTCTCAGTTTCGTCGAATTGAAAATGTGGCACGAGTCGCACCCCAGGGGCAGGATTAGTTGTATTCCACTGGAGGTCGATGGCCACGTTGAAGGTGGTGTCGTTGTACCATGTGGGAAGTGCCTCCTCTCTGATCATTCGGCAAGCCTTCGTCAAGGGAGGTTCTGGCAACAGCATGCCTCCGATCTCGTCGCCACGACACGAGTTTGGAATTGGCTCGCGCTCAGAAGTTCGCTCACAAATATCTGCGAAGTGGCATTCGTACACCTTCAGTCTGAGCTCTGGCGGAAGCTCCATAAACTGGTCGAATGTCTGCCGTTTGTCCGCTTGTTTCAGAGTCTTGGCATTTGTGGACTTGGATTTCTCATGGGATAGCCCACGGGCTTGGCAGATGGTCTCCAGCTCAGCAGAGTCGTAACTACGGTAGTCTGGGCGACCTTTCTTGGCACGGAGGAAGGCATGTTCCAGCGAGACCCGGTTGTCGGGATTTCTGGGAGTGACATTATTACTTCGGAGATAAAACTTCATGTCCCCTCAGAGACCGATTTCGGGTCGACCAATTTCCAATAGTCCTTGGCTGGGAATGAGTTCTGGAATCTGCGTTGCGGCATGTTGGTGGTAACGTATGTACACTTATCGTCGCTGAAAGTGTGTCGGAGGTGTGAAATCAGCTAGTAAGGGGCTTTATTGGCTTAGAGCGTGCTTGATCAGTGGAGTCAGGCTTCCGTCGTATGAGCAGGCCAGATGAATCTGAGAGAATGTGAGACTGATTGACGGGGGGTCGTTTGTAGTATATATGAAGCAAATAGCAATTGCATCCACCTTAGGCTGACCAACTTGACAGCCTCATTGGTCGGTTCTCAGCGTATTATCACATCTGGCCGTAGGTCCTTAGTGAACCTACCGAGATCCTACTTGAGGACCTGAGGCCGCCTATGTGGCCACGGTGGCAGAAATGCGTGACGGTACGCATCGCATCGTACATAGTGTTTACACGCCTTTGAGCAGAATCGTGATCGCGAGAGTACGCGCGGAGTGGCAACAGCGAGCAGAAGGAAAATACATCGTGATGGAAGACAATAGCGTGAAGTGGTTAAAGTGAAGGAGATGAGGGAGGTGTACCATCGGAGGTCGGAGGTTCGGGTTCGGAAATAGCTCGCTTGCCTTGCGTTTCGTCAACAGCTGTGCCTGGAGCTCGATGCATCACTAAACACTCCATCACGAACACGCACATCCCGCTCCACCATCTCCCACAACTTCACCCATCCACCGCACTCACTGCCATCTTCTAGCGCCATCCTGATCGCTCCCGCTCCTTGGCGCCCTTCCGCTATCACCCGCCACCATGTCGACGCTCGAGGATCTCGATGATTTGGAGCGCGATGGCAAGAAGGAGGAGAACAACGATGGCGACAAGGACAAGAAGAACGATCAGAACAAGGACGCCGACATGAAAGACGCAAGTGGCGAGCAAAAGGAGGAAGAGGAGGAAGAGATCGATGCCGAAATCCTCAACTCAAGCACACGCGACATCAAGGCCCGACGGAGGTTACTGGAGAACGACACGCGCATCATGAAATCGGAATTCCAGCGTCTTTCACACGAGAAGCAGAGCATGCTGGACAAGATCAAAGACAACGTCGACAAGATTGACAACAACCGGCAACTACCTTATCTCGTGGGCAACGTAGTTGAGATTCTGGATCTGGACGTGGAAGCGGAAGCGAAGGAAGAAGGCGCCAACATCGATCTTGATGCTACTCGTGTCGGCAAATCGGCAGTCATTAAGACATCCACACGACAGACCATCTTCCTTCCGCTGATAGGATTGGTCGACCACGAGAAGCTGAAGCCGGGTGATCTTATTGGTGTTAACAAGGACTCATATCTGATTCTCGATACGCTTCCCGCTGAGTACGACAGTAGAGTCAAGGCCATGGAGGTCGATGAGAAGCCGACGGAGAAGTACACGGATGTCGGTGGTCTTGATAAGCAGATCGAAGAGTTGGTCGAGGCTGTGGTGTGGCCGATGAAGGAGGCGGAGCGCTTCAAGAAGATCGGCATCAAAGCACCGAAGGGTACGCTCATTCCGCGGCTTTTGATAACTTTTGGCTAACATGTTGACAGGCGCGTTAATGTACGGTCCTCCCGGAACTGGCAAGACACTTCTTGCTCGTGCTTGCGCCGCTCAAACCGAAGCCACCTTCCTCAAACTCGCCGGCCCGCAACTGGTGCAAATGTTCATCGGAGATGGCGCGAAGCTCGTACGCGATTGCTTCGCTCTTGCGAAAGAGAAGGCACCCTCAATCATCTTCATCGATGAGTTGGATGCCGTGGGAACGAAGCGTTTCGACAGCGAGAAGAGTGGTGACAGAGAAGTGCAGAGAACTATGTTGGAGCTGCTGAACCAGCTGGATGGTTTCGCATCAGACGATCGCATCAAGGTGTTGGCTGCGACCAACAGAGTTGATGTGCTGGATCCTGCGCTGCTGAGATCCGGTCGTCTGGACAGAAAGATCGAGTTTCCCCTGCCGAACGAGGAGGCACGAGCACAAATTCTGCGCATCCACAGCCGAAAGATGACAGTAGACGAGGGTGTGAACTGGCCTGAGCTGTCACGAAGCACGGATGAGTTTGGAGGTGCTATGCTGAAGGCTGTTTGTGTGGAGGCTGGCATGATTGCACTGCGCAGTGGGCACAGCAAGATCTCACACGAGCACTACGTGGATGCGATCGCGGAAGTGCAGGCGAAGAAGAAGGTATGTTTTCACTTCGTTTTCTACAGCGCAAGAGAAAGTTTGCTAACGATACTTACAGGACACTGTCAACTTCTATGCTTAAGCGTGGCATTACATGGCGTGGCGCCCAGGAGCGCATCGGTAGATCATGTATACTACTTGACACGAATCACAACCAAATTCATGTACGATCGAAGTCTACGTTCTGCATCTATAACTTCATCTGTCTTCGCGCCTCGCCGATCGTTGAACCGAAGCAAACATGGGATTCGTTAAGCAGCACGTGTGCGCGCTTACGTTGTCGCGTTCTCACTAGGTTATGCTTGCATTGCTTGAAGAGCATTGTTTCCTGCCATTGCAATTTTCGAGCCTATGCAGGCCTAGTGCTAAATCTGGCCGGCTTCGTTAGATCTTCCAGTGGCAACTTTGAGAACACCAAAGAGCAATCACTGCAGTTGATCATGAAAGCCCAATTTTGAGAGTTACAGGAGGTGACGACAATGCTTCGCCTTGATTCTACCATACAACGCTTTCTTGGACCCCAGCTTGCTTCTGCTGTGCGTGTGTCGTTCATGTTTCGGACATGGTTATTAGTTATTGTTGCTACACAAATTTTACCATGCAAGTACCATTCCCTCACACATCAGGGTGATCTTCCTTGTACTTGGGATCTTGGTAGTGTCTGCCATAGTCAGCTGGATCCGACACATCGCAGGCTCATATAAGGAAGCATCGACTTACGGATATCGAGGTTCTGCAGGCTTCTTCCATTTCACCTTCTCTCGAATAGCGGCAAGACATTCGTCCACGAATTTGCCCCGGATCGAAATATTCTCGATCACCCAGACCGTGAAGCGATTCGCAAGTACCAAATCCTGCTTAGTCTTCTTCAAGTCGGTGTCCAAGCTTTCTAACTTTGCCTCGACTCGATCGGCAAGATTCCAGTATATGGACGAGACTTCCTTCTTGAGCAAGGCTGAAGTTTTTTCGATTGCGCGTCGTCTCTCGTGAGAAGCGATTTGAGCTTCTTCAGTTTCACGCTTGATTGCAAGTATTGCCTCCTGGGAAGCGGTTTGAGCTTCCCCAGTTTCACGCTTGATCTTGTCGAAGGCTTCCTGCATCTCGCGAATCTCTTGGTTGTTATTTGCTGCCTGGGTGTCACATTTCTTCTTGATCTTAGCCCCAAGTGATGCGAGGGCTTCGCGGAGGTCCTTGTTCTCTTTCTCCAAGATTATCTGGCGGTTCTCCATACGCTCTGTCTTGATGCTGATGTCGCGCATCTTGCTTTCCATTTCTTGAGCGACAAGACTGCGCATGGTCTCTTTCGTCTTCGTGTTCATGGTGACGGCAGCCTTCGAATTTGCCTTGATTTCCTTGTCGAGGAGTTCCGGAGCGCGACCTTGCTGCGTCAAAGTTGTGTTGAGGTCCTCAATGGCGCGCTTCAGTGCGAAGACTTCTTCTAGGGCGAGGTGTCTGTTGTCGTTGCTGGACTTGTGTCCGTGAACCCACCAGTCACCAAACCCACCGCCACCCAAGCGGTCAATGACAACGGACTGAAGTTTATCGAGCTTCTGTAGACTGAGGCCGTCAATTACAAGACGGTGATCTTTTGCTGGTGTGGAGTTGGGGATGTTATCTTTCACTGCGGTGCCATCACCAGCCGAAGACATCGCGCCGACATGTGATGTACGTGAGGTGGTAGAGCTGAGCACAAGTTTGGGAAGACTTTGTTTGTTCTGGTGCCTTCCGCGCGATACTAACCGAAGATTGCGCGCTGCAGCGCAAGTGAAGGCAAGCCAACGCTCCACACCTTGGCTTCAGCATTTTCGCGCGCCGCTTAAGGTGGCGACCGGATGGGAAACCAATTGAAATTAAGCAAATCAATCATGATATGCGATGCAATCAACTACCGTACACAGTCACTTCGTGAATTCCTACAGCCCAATTTGCAGCTTGACCTAAAGTCGACTCGTCAGTACCTTCACTTGGTTCCGATAAAAACGAACAGATCAAGCTTACCATTGACATTATTCACCACACTCTCGACATTAATTCGAATGTACCTGAACTGCTGCGTCGAGGTTGGGAAAGCTGCGCTGAAACCAACATCAACGGCGTTCGTCTGATCTGCCAGGAGCTCAAAAGTCCGTCCATCATTGCTGCCAGTGACGTTGTATTTGTAGAAGGTCTCAGAGCCTTGCACCAGCTTAGTCGAGAGATCAACTTGAGAGATTGTGTGGGCTTTCTGCAGATCGATCTGGTACCAAAATGGGACGCCGCTGGGCACAAAGACATTCGCGGGATTGTTCTGGGTGCCATCATTGGCGGAGGCGATATTGGCATTACCCGCGCTGCTGGAGCTTGGCTTGCCATCGGAGAGGATGCGACCAGTCTGCACACCATAGATGCCATGGCCTTTGGTGGCGACATCGTCACTGTATTGGACTGTGCGGTAGTAGTGGTAGGAGATAAAGCCTCCAGAGCCCTGTTGAGAGGAGTGCTCAGCATTGAGTCACATAGTGTCATGAAAGCTACACATACCTCAGAGACGGGGAGCATAAGTTGGCGAGTCTGTCCACCTTTAGTGGGCCAGTTCGAGCTCCATCTATTGCTATTCATCGCAAGCTGCCCACTCGACAGTTGGCTGACACCACCACTCTGAGAGCCAAACGTGGCCGTATTGCCGACGTTCACGGGTGAGCTCCAGGGTCCCGCCATGTTTGAGGCTGATATGTACCTGGCCAAGGTCAGTCAAAAGCTCTTACGTAGAAAGCATGGAATGCACATACTGTGGTTGCGATGGAAGCCAGCCGGCAGCACGGGAGGTGAAAAGATAGTAGACCCCGTTGTTTTTGGCCACAGCAGGGGCTTCCCGATGTCCGCCCTTGTTCACTTGGACCAGAAACTTGTCCACAGCTGTCCAGTTCGAAGTGAGCGAGTATATGTTGTTGTTCGTATTGGTATCGGTGCTGGTGACAATCCACGCTGAGTTGCCATCGTTGAAGAAATTTAAGTCTCGGGAGTCATGTCCCAGTGGTCGGTACGCGCCATCAAATGTGAAAGCTTCCGCTGTAGGATCCTTATGCGCGACTGCGATCCAGCCGAGACTATAGTCTTGTGACTTTTCGTAGTGTGCATACATCTGTAGAAGGGCAAGGCGTGTCAGTCAAAGTAGTTTCAGCTACCGGCCTTACATACCACAAATTGGTTCGTGGACGGGTGCTTGAGGAATGTAATGGCTTCCAATTTGCAACCTGTACGGTGTCAGCCAACGCTTGCAATATGGTCCAGAACACCCACTGTAGTTAGCTGGAGCACAGAGTGTAACACCAGTAAGGACGGTCTTGTCGCCTGTGAAGTCATATCCGTTTCTCGACGTCTGCTCAACGAAGCGATTGAAACTTCCGTTCGAGTATGTTTGATAGTTGTATCGATAGTAGACACCGTTCGCTTCAAGCTTCGACTTGAGCCTCGTGGGGGATGGCTGCGTGTTGTCATGTGTGCTGTAGGTGTCTTGAGCAGTGTATGGTGCGAGCGTGGCAACACTGCTTTGGTCGACTTGGCTGTTTCCACTGAGTGCCGTTATTCGGAAAGAGTGCGTAGATCCCGCGTTCAAGTCATAGACATCATGCGTGGTCCCTGGAACAGTCGCAACTGTCTGATATCCTCCAGTGCCCTGCTGTTGCTCAACTCGATAGGTGGAAGCACCATTGACCGCAGCCCAGGCGAGTTTTGCGTTGTTCACATCAGATCCTCCCTGGAGGGCAAAGAGCTGACCTGCAATACCAAACTCTGCCACAGTAAGGCGGAACAGTGCTGGAAGCAACGTCCAAAGCTTGAGCTGAGTCATGGCTGTGAGACAAGCTGATGAGCGCAGAGCTGTGGTGGGAGGAATCTCTGCCTTTTGCTCTGGACGACACTCAGCAGTCTCGTGTCGTGAATTCGAGCCCGATGTTGATCATACCATCTACGACATTTTGTGTTTGACGTTTACTAAAATTAGTGCCGTTTTCACTGCGTACGATAGCACACGACCATCCCGGTGCAGGGTTAGCCCTTTTTGCTATGCTCTCACCACGTTTCAGGGAGTTGGAAGGGGAAATCGAATTAAAAGCATGGGAAGAGTTGTTTTTCCGAAGCTGCTCTGAGACCAGAAATCAGCACTAGAGCGTACTAGCATGCGATGAAAAGCAAAGTGGAGCCTCTTCCTGGCTGCATTCCAGGCTCATGATGTTCTGGATACGAGGACGGATCGGCCGACATGCATGTGCATGATCTTCCACCTATCCGCTTCATAGCATAACGATTGCACAGTGTGAAAGGGGTGTGGCTGAGGTCTGACATTTATGCAGGAAGCTCGAAAACAAGGACTTGTGATTGTAGAAGAGTTGGAAGACACGGGTTGTGGCCGTGGACGTGTTTGAGGCGACGGAAGCCGCGGCAGGAAGTGGAAGCCTGAGGCAGCAAGTTCGACCACTTCTCCACTTCTCTTCTCTTCTCCTTTTCCTTCTCCTCATTCTCTTTCCTGCACCAGCTCCACGTACCTTCTTTATGTCCGCCTCGCAAAACCGCAGGACACTGCATCAAGTAGAAATGGCAACTGTCAGGTATCTTGACCGTGCCTGCAGACGCCTTAGGTACATCGACGCCACTGAAGCCGCAATGAACAATACAAGATAGGCGACACGAACTGGAAACGACGAAGTCGAAACTGGAGTGCAAACAGAGCGGGAATGTCAATTCCAGCCGTTCAAGATGCCTGAAAGTCAAAGATCCGTATGTTCGATTTGTTCCATCCTATCTCCTAGCCGAAATCTGCCATGTGCCGCACTCGACACCAACACATACGATCAGCGAGAGGCTTTGCTATGCGCATCAGATTCACTGGCGATGCAGCAGACGAGAATCCTGCGAGTAGGTGATGCTATCAAAAAGCTTGTTGATCTGGATCAGCATGTCTTTGTCCCTCTCCACATTAGAACTAAACCCAGCTTCCATTGTAACAGTCTGTGAACATACTCTTTGTTCCCTTGACCGGATTCGCTCGAGGACTGCTAACATGATTTCTAGCTCCAGCACAGTAATAGCACTCTCCACCTGTACATACCTGTCGCTAGCTAAACCATGGCAGCACCACACTTATTCAACGAAATCCGCGCCGCGCAGGCCACCGTCGCTATGCTAACCGAGGAACTTCTAATCCATAACCGCGCCTACACCACTGCCGACGAGCAAGTCCAAGAAGCAGAGCAAGAGCTCCGATATGTTCAAAGAACGCACGGCTACAATGTGCAAGGATCTCCAGAACTGTCAAATTGCATCGATAGATTGAATCTCTGTCGCCAGCACCTAGAAGCCGTCCAAGAGCATTTGTTGCACTTATGGCGTGAACTTGAGCGGACCGTGAACGCAAAAGCGATGCTCTGGGCAGAAGTGGAAGAAGTTCAGGGAAGGATAAAGTATCCTTCGAACAAAATTCCCTTTATGCAAGAGAAAGTTGTTCTCCAGGCGGAAGAACATCCGGAGCAGGAAGCATATTGGAGGAAACATATGTTTGGCAAGACGAGGCCACAACAAGATCGCAGCGAGTCAGAAGAGGAGAATTCGCGTCGAAGGGTAGACGAAAGGGCGCGACGAGACGCGGAGGAGGAGAGATTGCGTCGAGAAGAAGCGGAAGAAAAGAGACGAAACAATGCGCGAAACCAGCAACCAAGTCCGCGAAGGCAACAATTTCCACCGCAACCACAGCAGCCTAGGCTGGCCCCTCTCGTCGTCAACCCAATTGCATTACGCCAGTGGCAACTATACGTCACACAGAGCTTCTCGAACTACGCCCTCATCAACGGGTTTCCGGACCCATGCTCTGGACCACTGCCCGTTGTCACACCTTGCGCAAGACCGCAATGCAACCAAGAAGAAAGAACATTAATTGCATGTTCGTGTCAACTACGCAAAGCTTTCGAGGCAGCGGGGGTGAATTTGAAGAAGGAATTGCATCGATGGCACCCCGATCGATTCCACGTCTGCGCTGAGCCGAAGCGACCTTTGTATATTTTGATGGCGACCGAAGTCTTCCGGGTTCTGAATGAGATGAGAGAAGAGGCGCTGAGGAGAGGACTTTGATGAGGTTGCGTTCAAGACGCTCTGTTCTCTTTCGTATGTACATTAATTGATTGTAAACATTCTATTGCTTTTGTGGCCCTTAGTCTACATCCATGAGTAGCTTTTATCAAGTCCCAAGGAGGTTGCTTTTGTTGTGCAGTCGGGAAATTCCTGACATTGAGCACGCCGCTCGCATCACCTTGCCAAATCGCGAGCTGAACGTCCGATATACAACAGGTGGAGGTTTGACTGAGCTTTTCACATTCAAAAGATCTCCTCATCGTCCCAAGCTTTTGATACCGGCCGCACCGTCGAAGAGGGCCTCTTATCCTTGTTGAGTGTCGAAGGACATTTCCGCAATTCCAGATTTTGGCCGGTGTCCGTATTTCCAGCCTTTTCGATGCCATAGGTACTCTCTCGCAGTGTTCTATCGCAGCTGGAGCTCGCGAATGTATTATGAGGGTTGGGGCCAAGACTACCGAGACGCTCGCCAGATCTTGTTTGATAATAGCTATCACCAAACGACAGCGACGGAAAGATTCGTGAGACTAAGCCCTTCAGCGTGGGCAGACACTGCGGTCCATGGGTCAGTGGTGTTCAGGACAGAAAGCGGAAAGATTGCCTACCGAGCAGATGATGCCACCGTAAAGCTCCATGCTGGACCAGATAGCAGCAGACGGATTGTCCCAAGATACGTCTTTCGACTGCGAGATGTTGTACAGCGAGGGCAAGCGCAAAATTGAAATTACGCAAGTCATCCCGCCCAACGCAAATACGACCATCAAGATCATCTTCTGTCGTCGAGGAAATTGCAAAGCATTCAGAGGTGCAATTGGCAAGAGGGTCGTGCAGATATCTGTGAAGATCGATCCGCCAGCCATTGAATACCTGTTTAACGTGAGTAGGCTGTTCTTGGATTTTTGCAGAACGCACTCACCATACTGCCATTCGATTCATGCAATTGGCAGTTTGCGGCGGCCCCCAGAAATCGCTGATAGGATGGCACAAGAAAATGGACGCAAAAAAGCCCCAGATGGTCCAGACGACATTCATGGCGAGAACAAGCAACGCGGCGATGCGCCACTTTCTCATCGTGAAGAAGCGGAGGTATTGTAGCAGAATGGATGTCTTGATGACGCCCAAACCCAATGCATATGTCCAAGTGGAGGCCCAGAACCACTTCAACGAGTGCACCATATCGTCGGGTGTCAAAGTGTCGAAGTGTCGACCCATTCCATAGTGTACTGGAAGTACATGTCAGCTTCTGGAGCTGCGTTGGCAAGGTGTTGTTGAATAACCTGCTTGACCATACAGACGGCCAGAAAAATGGCGAGAAGCTGTTGCAATTAGAGGAAAGGCCACTGCATGAGGTGATACATTCACTCACTAGTGCAAAAGCCGCGAGGTGATCGTCCAGCCCAAGACTTCTGGTGATTGTGGCTCGTGTATATAACCGAGCAAATGTTAGTAGTGCAGCAAGAACATTAAATGTCACACACGACGCCACAACGGCAGCGCCAGATGCGTGGCCGCTTCCTGCCACCATGGCTGGAGAGAAGGTGAAAAAATATGGTCTTCATTGCAACGGGCTGCAGAGGTGCAACAAATATGTGTTGTTCTCGGCCGTTGGTTGTTATTGAACTTTTGCGCATAAAGTTCCGAATTTGAGCTAGGTCTCTGCTCTCTCCTTCAAATCCCGGGAGTAGCTCATTCGGATTGACTTCGATCCCCAGACCGCGACGATCTACATGGGAGTGACAGGCTGTCTTTGCTAGCAATGACAACACAGTTCGGGTGCACTTCACCTGCATGGCAGGCGGAACAGCAATGTGGAGAACCGTTCGTGAGCGTTTTTGCCGCCCGAGGTCAATGGACTTGCATATGGTGGCGCAGCTCATCAAGGGCGGGCCAAGTCACTAAAGCCTCTTCCATCGTCAGCCATATGGTATAGCGATATAAGCAACTCGTTAGCTTTGTAATATGAGCACCATGTGTCTGCCATGCGAGAGACAGCATGTTTGGCTGCGTCACGCTCGGCGACCACCTATTTCGCAGTCGGCTCCAGATTTGTGGTGCATGTCATTCAGACAACTCCTCGGGGAGCATCAGCTTTCGATTCGTTGAAGAAAGGATGTTGACGAAGCCATCCTGGTCAGGGCTGGGCGGAAAGAACGCTTGCTCTAGGGCAGCTCTGTACCAATGAACCTTATTCCTAGCAAGAGCTATGCAGTATCATCACGAAGAGATCGTACAGAACACCTCCATATGATCACTTCTGCGCATCAGATGTTCCAATGACCCGAAAGATCGTGCTTCCATGAAATAGTCATGCTGTCCAATAGTTGCGGCGATCGCAAACCCAGGAGATTGGTTGATGACTGATTGACGACTTCACTTCGGAGTTGTTCCCGATTCACGCAAATGTTTGAGCCATATGGGGCCGTCGGACCAACTGACCCTTTTCAGATTCCTAATCATCGCAAAGCTTGAGTTGGAAGCAAACACCAATTCGGTATTGCCCACAGCAGAGAACGGCTTGGCAATAGGGCTGAAAATCGATGCTGGATGAAGGTTCCTTGTCGAGCGTCGAGCGGGGTGCGTCAGTAAGGCCTCAGAGAACTGCTGTATCTGGGAAGAGAATATGCATTTGGAAAACAATAAAATGTTTTGATGTCTTGACGGTGGAGAGACGAGGCAGCTGTCAGAACCAGAAGTCGTAGGGGTTGGCATGGCGCTAGCACCGGTATAGGACTAGCCTGTCAATGCCTTCCTCCTTCGTCCACCTCACGTTGTGCAATGCAGTATGGACTCAGACGCATGGGCTGTGATCTGATCTATTGCTGGATACTAATGAAGCCCGTCAATCATCTTGCGCAGCTTGTATGTCTGCTGAGAACGCAAGTTCTCTTCGGCAATAACATTTCACTTCGGTATCAACGATAGAGCTACGTCACTAGCAACAGAGCTTCAACCTCAGCTGTTCATCATTGAGCCAGAAACGTAGGCGCAACCTTCACACCCCAACTCGCAGCTTTTCTCGACTTCCTTCTCACCGTTCCATCACTCATTGTCACTCTGCAATCCATCCAATCGCCGCCAAAAAGTTCTCTACCGCACCAAAGCGATCTCATCCCAAAGAAAACCAACATGCCCAAATCCGCTTGCTTCGACGTCCTCGGAACCTGCTTCGACTTCCAACCCGCCATAGAAGAAATCTCCCTCCGTCTCAAATCCAAATCTCTCCCCTCTTCCACAGTCATCGACGCCAAATCCCTCTTCTTCGGCTGGTTCTTCGCCGCCCAACGGGACTTCACCTATGCCTCATTGTGCGGGAACTACACGCCCATCGCCCAAGTCCTAAAATTAACATTCAAACGTGCTTGCGCAGTGGTTGACATCCCATTATCCTCCATCACCGACGAAGATGTCGAAGCTGTCATGGCGAAAGTGCGAGAATTAGATGCAAGGCCGGGATTGAAGAAATGTTACGATGGGTTGAGAGATGCGGGGTGGGATGTGTATGGTGTGACGAATGGAGGGAAAGAAGCGAGTTTGAAGTATTATGAACTTGCGGGAATAGAGTTGGATAAAGATCATTTGTTGAGTTGTGATGAGATTCAAGTGGCGAAGCCGGATGAGAGGGTTTATGCTAATGCGCACCGCTGGTTGACCAGTAGAGGTTTGGGCACGGAAGGTGATGGAGAAAGGTGGTTTGTTGCAGCGCATGCGTGGGATTTGCTTGCGGCGAGGAAGGCGGGTTTCAAGACTGCGTATTTGCATTTCGAGGAGCATGATCCTGTGACGGGTGTGTTTGGGGAATTCGACTTGTATGCGGACAATATGGAGGAATTGCTGGAGAAGATGAAGGCTTTGTAGCTGCATGATCGCCCAGCTCGCTAGGCACTGGGGTCATCCTGACATATAATAGGTATGACTACTGCTGGTCTTCAGTATCGAGATAGAGGCACGTTTGCGCTGATTCGATGATACCGGCAAGTATTGGAGCCTAGCGAACAATAGCTTGCTCATGAGCTGTGACATGGCAGCCGTAGAAAGCTTGTGCGCGATCGAGTTGGCGCCGCCGTCTCGGACATTCATGCTCTCAAATGCGGAGTAGCTGTTGCGTTTCGCCCATAACGACGGACAAACATTGCCAGTGTAGATGAATGGTAGGTGAACGGGAAATCGGCTGCCTTCTTGTGAAAATAAACGAACATGGCGAGAAATGGCTTAAGAAATGATCTTGCACTTGCTTGGCTTGCATTTTGACGATTTCTAGTACAATTTAGTAGACCGCAAACGGTCCCTTGGGGTGCGACTTACTCGCGCCCACAGTGCCACTTTGTCCATCCTACACGCTTTTGCTCCACCGACCTGGCCATCGTGACTGGCGGGAGGAACAAACATGCTGGGAACGCAGCTCTTCCCAAAATTGCTCAGTTGCTAAAGTCCTTTTCAATGAAGACTTCTAAACATCCTTCGCCCTTTGGCTCATCTTCTGCCCCGACCACGGTCTCTGCTCGCGCTCCTGCTCCGGCTCCGACTGCTGTAGCTCGAGTAGCTTCGACTGCGCCGCCGCCCGCCATGTCCGCCACCGCGTCCGCCTCGGGGAGGAGGGCCTCCTCTGCCTCTCGGTGGGGGTGTCCGACTAGGACTCCTGCTCCTCCCGGAATATGATGGAGATCTGCCTCTCCTCGCTGGTGGTGACCGACTCCTGCTGTAGCTGCGTGGGCGGTAAGAGTCCCGTGGCTCCTCATAACGATCTCTGTAGCCTCCACCATGCCCTCCTCTGCTCATCGGTGGGTTGCCATATCTGCCGCCCCTGCCTCCCCTCATGCCCGGTGCAGGCGGAGCGCCATCTCTGAATCTGTGAGGCTCTCCGAATCTGTTTGGCGGTGGACGCATTGGCGGCGGACTGCGACTGAATCTCCTCCTCGGCAGAACAATGCTCACGCTGATCAACGCGCCGTCGAGCTGTGCCTCGTGCATGTTGCTAATAGCTGCCTCTGCATAAGAAGGCTGTGTGTACAGAACATACGCTATCCCGCGGTTCGTCATGAAGTGTTTGTTCATGGGCATTTCGAGGTCGGAGATTTCGCCATATGTGCTGAAGATTTCGCGCAGGTGTGAAATGTTGACGTTTTTGGTGAGCTTCTCGATGACAATTTTGGCCGAACGTGGCTGTGAAGGGGCCGGTGAACGCG